TGAATCAAACCTACACATTTCTCTCTAAATTTTAGAACTTATTTTTGTGATAAAATATAATTCAGAGTTTTAAAAAGAGTTGTTACTGTCTGGGGGAAGATGGGTGTTGTAGTCTAAAAAATTTTTTTTCAAGCCCTGAAATAATCACAGCTGTCATTTTCACAAATTTGTGAAGGGCAAATGAAAGAGAGTAATAATGCTAGGCCAGGTGTGAAGAGACCTTTCTCTGATTTTTTTTTCTGGGGGTATCTTTATGGCTAGATTTGCTACCTTGGATACGGGATGGGGTTCCTTTAACTGTAATTCCTGACATATTGTGGAGCAGGACAAGGTATCTGAAATGTTTGTCAAGCAGGACAAAGGTACCTGTCCTCTCTCACTTTCTATACCTGAACTTTCATTCTCATATGTCTCCTTCCAACATAGCTGTCATCTTTATGGTGGAGAGTGGAGGAGAGAGCTTTTGTTGTGGGGTATAACTGAATGATAAATCTTCTTCTCTTTCAGATATTGGACTCTTTTTGTCCCCCTCCCCTTTTAGACTTTTGTAATGATCTCTTATATTGCTGCAATTTCCCCCCATACCTGCATATACCTGTCACTCATGCGTAGATGATAGGAGTTATAGTCCAATGCATCTGAAAGACTCCAAGTTACAGAAAGCAGGGGTATAAAATATCAGGACTTTTTTTGCTGGATTTCAGGCCATAATAAATTGATGAATTAACTTCTCATAAAACTGAAGGCTTGGTGTTACTTTAAGAGTATTACTTGAGGGCTCTGAGTACTCTGGCCCAGAATCTCCACCCCCAAATCCCCCTTACCTGCTGCGAATTTTCAATGAAGGATAGGTGGCTGCCTTTCTATATGGTCCCTGCGAATAGCAACAGCAAGTACATTTCTATACCACTTATCAGTGAACTAGCACTCCTTATGCAGTTAACAATGTGTAAGCTAATTGCCCCAACAAGCTGGGTACTCATTTTAGCAACCTATGAGAGGATGCAAGGCTGAGTGGGCCCTGGAGCCCTGCCTGGAATCAAACACACAACCTTGTGGCTGTCAGTGTCTGCAGTACTGGTATTTAACCATTGTGCCACCATGGCTCCTTTTAGCTGGTCCTGCTGCAAGTCACTCTAAGGTCAGAACAAGGTGCCTACCCTCATTTTGACCTCAGGGCAATTCATGCCCAGAGAGCAACTCAGTAGGAATGTTTGCATTGGAAGGGAGCTGGAAACCCCAAAGAAAAAGATAAGTCTTTTTAATGCATGACAAGGCATGGAAACCCTGAATCAGGTCCAGGTGTGAAAACAGCTTGGATTAGATTCCTGATTTTGGATCTGTGTAATGTAAACAGTATGCAGCAAGCTTAGGGGACATTCAAGTTTTATAATATCGACAAGGCCTGAGATGACACAACAGATACCCACTTCTCCCTCATTTATAAAGTGCAGAATGACACTTCTGTTGTTGCTCATGCCACTTTACTGCATATCATTTCCTGGAAAACCTGTGACGATATTTTTCTAGGATTTTGACTGAAATGTCAGCTACAAAGTAATGGCACGTACTAGCTGGCTCCCTCAAAGGAATGGCCCACAAGTGTTTTTGAGGACTTTGGGTTGACTCCAAAATACTGAAGGAGGAAAACAAAAAAACTGCCACAGCATGGTATATGGCTATGGAGTGCTGCCCAAAACAATCCTATCTGGCTTATTTCTGAAGATAAAAAGTTATAGCTTTATATTCTGTAATTAGCATGTGTTATGAACCTTAAAAATGGGTCTTGCTGGGCTTTTGCTGATATTTACAGAAATAAAATTGGCTTGTGGAATGATGACAAACTCTTAGCTATGGATTATTTTTCTGCGAATTATTTTTATTAAGGTAGCAATCAGAGACCCAAGCAGTACAGTCAGTCTCTACATTGCTTAACACATGCTTGCACATAACCCTACCTTCTCCCATCTCTTATTGCTGTCACTAACTATACTACAGCTGAGCTAAACTGAACTAGATTGACAAATGTTTTGAATTACATTGGTTAATTACATAGTTTAAACTAGATAGTTAGATTATAATTGTTAATAGCTAACCATTTTAAATTAGATGGCCAGAATCCTGTTGGGCAAATGTGATACCTAGAGTTATGTGGTCATGACTATTTCGTACTCACAATCCCTAAATGAATACTATTGGCCCCTATTGATCACAGGGGCTGCTTCCCAGAAAGTGGGGGTGTGAGGTGTGGTGATTGAAATGGAGTTCACTGCATGGCACCATAACTACAGTGGTTACACATACATAAAGACCATATGGGATTCTGGCCAAGATCTGTAGTAGCCAGGAAAAATCCTGGTGAGTTTGGGAATGTGGAAGCTTTTCCTCTGACAGACTTAATCATGACTGAAACTTCAGTGTTAAACACACTTACACAGTAAGCACTATAGAACAGAATTAATAAAGGTGGAACAGCATCAACATTAGCACTATGAGTCCAATTTAACTGGCATAACTGTATCCTATGGCATCATAGAGTTGGAAGAGACCACAAGGGCCATCCAGTCCAACTTCCTGCCATTCAGGAATAGAGAGATTAGTAGTTTGGTGAGACACTAGAACTCGGGCTGAGAATTCTAATTCCCTAAACCGAAAATCTAAATTATATAGAAGAGAAACATAGTGGTTAAAAAAAGTCATACTGCTATCATTGTGTAATGTGTAAGAGCCCAGGTTTATGCCCTGATTTCAAATCCAGAACATTCAGGTGACCTCTTCACTATGTCTCATTTTCTTGCATAATGTAAACAGTGATGAAACATTTCTCATGCTTCTGGAAAAGGTAGTTCTTATATGTTGGGAAAGAATTCCAGTTGTGTAAGTAAACTGCTCTACCACCACCAACTAGAACAGGAAAAAAGTAGTATCAAGTCCAGTTTCCAGCATTCATCTTACTCCACAACATCCCTTTGCATTTAAATCAAAAAATATATGTTTTCAACTTCATAATATAAAAAGAATGATAGAGTAAGTATTGAGCAACTTGAAACTTGAAAAAGATATTCTGTGCTGAACTCTCCCTGGTAATCTGTAAGACTGTTTGTATTTCTCTTGTATCGTGACAACATCATATTGTGCATTCTTCTGTCTTTGCAAATGGAAGCCAAAAGAATGATGTTATTACATGAAGACATTCAGAGATCTTACACATTCTTGGGGAAAGGCGAAGAAATTGAGGCAGGGTGCCTTTCAGCTGCAACCCTGTGTTAAGTATCATGTATAGTCTTGTCCTTACACTTGCTCTGTACCTGTCTAGATTATCTCTCTGGAATGATTCAGAGGAAGCAGCATGTTCTGCAGCACACTTGATGTGCATGTACCATAGTATTTGGTCCTTTGAAATGAGAACTCATGTGGATAAATCTCTTATGAGAAATTGCTGTAGTGTAAAAGAATGGCTGTCATTCCTGTTTGTAAACATGCCATCTGCATTAATATTTTAAGAAGTGACAAACTGCTGAACTGCAGGGGCTAATTATTTTGATGTCCACACTTCCCCACGCTTCACCAGACTTCCCATGCAATTGACGCTGTATGACCTCTGGAAAGTATATTACCCATGTTAGATAATTAAAGCTTTCTATGTTCCCAGGTGTGTGATTTTGCCAAGGGCTGTGTTCATCAGAAGAATGACACTAATTTGCCACTTAATGTAAGCAACAGCAACCATCTACTTCCTTTTCTCTCCAGGATCCAAAAGCCTCCTGGAATGAGTTTCCACTTTGATTTTTATCTGGCTTACTGCCTACCATTTATCAACCTCACACTTCCTCCAATTACAATAAGAATATGAAATATGAAAATAAACACATTTATTTAGGACCCCCAGACCTGCTTTATAATGTGTGTGTGTGTGTGGGGGGGTGTCCCCCTTCAATATTGGCAGACAGGTATTTGCAGGGGGAGGATAGATTATATTCCTGATCCTTTATCATGGAAAAAGCCTTTAATATGAAGACTTTTTAACACAGTGTTCAATGTACTATACTCCCAAGTAAGGGTGCACAGCATAGAGACTGCAGACAGCCTTCATTATTACTAGGAGGGCTCAATGACAGTTGCTGTTAGTGGTTGCTCACTACTTCTGATTGATAATGCTTGGGGAGATTGAACTACATAGGAGATGTGGTCCAAGTTGACCAGGTCATTTTTTGGGGGGGGGGGTTGCTTAGCCCACCATTCTAGGGTTTTTGTTTTTTTTTGGAAGGGGTCTATTCCTCCTGTTCTTTTATAATTATTTATTTACATATTTACTCACTTATTGTCCATGTATTTATCTATCTGAGATCATCTTAAAGTTGTAGCTCCAACAGAATGTTGATGTTGATATTCTGTTGGAAATTAACAATTAGCAACGATGGAGAAATAGGATGGATGTGGGGCTAGGGAAGCATTTGGATTTCTTCACAGTAGCACCAAATGGATGCTTTTATTCTGTTTCTTTGTTCCTATGATTTCTTTGAAAACATTTTTTTCTACTGTGACATCAGTACACATGGTAAGAGAGGCAAAAAAATGTTTTCATCTTTTGGCCAGAAATGGTGTAAGAATGTCAACCTTTGCAAGCTTTTTGCATTTGGGAAACATTTTGCAAATGATTTTATTTCCCACAAGAGATGATTTTTTTCACACAAAACTCAAGTGTTCTTTAAAAACTTTGGCAAAATGCCCTTGTAATATTTTTGAAAAAAAAGTCTTGAAATGGAATTAAAATTGAAAATTGTACAATTGTATAAAAACTCTCGTAATCTTATCCAGTGGGGAGAAAACTCTTGATAGTTTTCTGCAAGAATGAAATACAGGAATATTTACATCAGTAACTCAGGCCCTTGGGTTGAATCTGGCTCTCCTAAGGTTCTTGTCTGGCCTCCAGGTGGAATTAGGGTTGCCATATTGGAAACTAGAGAGGGCTCCTGTACCATTAATGGTTGTGTATGAGAGCCAGAATGGTGTAGTGGTTTGAGCATTGGTCTATGACTCTGGAGACCAGGGTTCAAATCCCTGCTTGATCATGGAAACCCACTGGGCGAGCCACACTCTCTCAGTCTCAGGGAAAGGCAATAGCAAACCTCCTCTGAACAAACTTGTCAAGAAAACCCCATGATAGGTTTGGTTCATTATAGGTCACTACAAGTTGAAAACAACTTGAAGGCACACAGCACACACACAGAAGAGTGAATTTTAGTAAGTGTTGCTTGTTAACCTGGTTGCTTGATAAGTAACATTGGCACAACTCACAACATTAAAGGTACAGGAGCTCTCTTCACTTTTCAGTATGCCACCACTAATGGTCATACTTCCTCATCTCACCATCATTTGATGACTTACCAGATTTAATAGTACATTTTGTAGTACATATCCTAATTTTGCTGTACATAGCCAAAGAACCAGTTCTTGGAGAAGACGCAAGTGTTTTATTTCGGAAAATTGGATCACAAACATTTCCTCAATCTTGACTTCCATGTACTTCTGGCTGAAGCTGCATTTAAATTGTTGTATTAAAGTCGGACTGTGAAGTCTTGGAAACATTGGTTTGATCTTGGCTGTGGACTTTTCCCAAACCCAATAAAAACTACTAAATAAATGTCTTTCCATGGTGACATATTTCCCGTTTATAAAAAGCCTCCAAAGTATTAGTGCTGCATAAAGAAGCCTGTAGAAGTAACTATATGTGTATTTTTAAACAATTTCATTCATGAAGCAAAATAATGAAGAATTTCAAGATGAAAAGGCATCTTTTGTATAAGACAGACTGTATAAACAATTGGCTACTATAAACAGTAATGATACAATCCATGGCAATTTTCCTTCTTATTGCCTTAACAGAAAATGATTGTAAGGGATTGGATTGAAACATCCAGAAATGGAGCAAGAGTGGAGGACTAAAGCAGTTCTTAAATGCTTGCAAAGTACAGGAGTGCAGAATCTGTAGCTCTTTGGATGTTGTTGGACTATAACACCAGTCATCCTGGACCATTGGACTAGAACTTATCAGAGCTGGGGTACAACAGATTCCTCCATCCAGTCAAATAGAAGGCACATATTTTTAGATCTCTGAACTGAGATCCCGATTTGGTCTTAACTTAAATTGGTTTTCCCCTCCAGATTGATCTAAGATGACTTGAGACTGTATTCTAAATCTGCAAAACAGGATCTGAACAGTGACCAAGAGGCTCACTCTGTTCCTTCACTGCTGTCACTTCCTTCTCTTTTTCAGAGATGTATTGGGGTTTTTTGATTACACTTTTGATTTTTCCCTTGTTAAGTCTTTTTGCATTATTGTTGTTGATGTTACTGGTTTATCCTGCTGGGGTTTAAGTTGATAATTTTTTAAAAGAAGTCATAGGACGTTATCACATGGGGTCTAAAGCAGTGCCATCCCCGTCGCATCCCCGTCCCATTCCGCTTCCTTTTCCCCTGTGTTCACACGTCGTCGCAGAGAAACCCCGCCCATCCCTGTCCCATCCCCGTCCCATTGCGGTTCTTTTCCCCGTGTCTTCACACGACGTCACACCCATCCCCGTCCCATCCCTGTCCCATTGCGGCATCATCCAGCATCATCCCCGTTCTTTTGAATGCTGGATTCTTTGGGAATTACATTTCTGCCGCGACCAGAATGATACCGGAATGATGCTGCTTTCTTTTTGCTGGTAAGTTCTGGATTGAAAAGGAACCGCAATGGGACGGAGATGTGACGGGGATGGGACTGCTTTAGGCCCCATGTGATAACGTCCATAGAGTTGGAAGAGACCACATGGGCCATCTAGTCCAACCCCCCAACATGCAGAAATACACAGTCAAATTACCTCTGACAGATGGCCATCCAGCCTCTTTTAAAAACTCCAAAAGAAGGAGACTCCACCACACTCCAAGGCAGCAACATCTTCCACTGTTGAACAGCTCTTAATGTTGAGGTGGAATCTCTTTTCTTGTAGTTTGACCACATTGGTCCAGATCCTGTTCTATGAAGCTGCAGCAAATTTGCTTCATCTTCAATATGACGTTCCTTCAAATATTTAAACAAGGGTATCATATCACCTCTTAACCTTCTCTTCTTCAGACTAAACATACCCAGCTGCCTAAGTCACTCTTCATAGGGCATGGTTTCCAGTACTTTCGGAATCAGTTGTTTGTTTTCTAAATGATTTCTCTTGTTGATTCTCTTCTGATATTCCATTTCGCTTTTTATATCATGTCAGGGGCCAATGGCCATGCTAGTTGAGTTTTTTTGGGAGTTGGACTCCCAAATTTTCTATGCTCTGAAGTTGATCCTAAGCCACCTTGTAGGCTTTGGGAAGAAAAAATTTGGGGACCAGTGTCTGTGAACCTATTAGCCACTTGCTGAACAGGCCATTTTGTGAGCAGTTGATAAGGTTCTGGGACCTTTTCATAAGGTGAAAACACACTGCAGAAATAATCCAGTTTGAGAGCACTTTAACTGCACTGGATCAATCCTAGACAATTCTGGGAACTGTAGTTTTGTGAGATATTTAGCCTTCTCTGTCAGAGAGCTTTGGGGCCACAACAAACTAGAGTTCCCAGAATTCCCTAGCACTGGGCCAAGGCAGTTAAAGCAGTCTCAAACTGGATTATTTCTGCAATGTGTTTTGGACCTTAGTGCAAAATTATAACATTATGATTCCACTGTCACTTTTATGGCTGCACCATGTGGAATCCTAAGGTTTGTAGTTTGTTGAGGCACTAAAATTGTGTGGCTGAGAGTTTTATATATTCTTCTCTAAGTTGCAAATTCCAGGATTCCTTAAATTGGACATATGTTATTTAAAGAAGAATCAGAATGCTATAACTGTATACAAACAGGAGAGGAGAGGAGTGACCCAAGCAGCAATAGGAAGATGGGATTAGTTTAGAGCTGCTCATTCCATGAATGGTTGACCCTTGGCTCTGGCAGAAGAAGGACAAAAGGGATTTTCTTAGCTCTAACCAACTTCAGACCTGTCACTGGGTGGCTCAAAATCACCATCCTCTTTCTTCTGTCACCTCTTTCTTCACCTTCTTCACTACTACTGCCTTCCCATGTTCCTGGCCTGGTAATGACTATTTTCCTTGTAGCAGAGGGGAGAAAATTATGTAGACTGTTTATAAACTTTATATGCAAGGTTGAAAAAAATGAACATTTCCATCCCTAAACTATGCTAGTGGAGCAATAGAGTCTTGTAGTCTTTTCATAAAGGACTAAATGAAGCATTTGTGTAGTATGATTATTAGTAAACAGGGATTGTTGAATAAATACTCAGATTCAAACCTAATTTTTAAGGTACTCAAAGCCCTGGGCCTGGAAGAATGTGTCTGTCAGTTTGTTTCCCCCACATACATATCTGATTTTTTTACTTTCAAACTGATCAAAATAATGTTTCAGTTTTTAAAGTAAATTCTTAATAAAAGGTAAACTGGAAAGACATTCTCAGCCCTATCCCTGTAGATAAATGCAATAACACTTCCGGTTATTCTGTTCTGTCCACATACTAGTACAAAATCATGGACGAGAGGAACAATATCTTGTGGATTTAGTTTCACTGTTCTCATGAAACACTCTAGCATGAAGTATGAAGCAGCCTTTACTATCCAATGTGTTTAAATTAGGGGCTTAACTTTTATTTGCTGTGAAAACTGATACCAGCATATTATATATAGTTGGTTTCAAAGAATGTTTTAGCCAGTCTTATTGTAAAGATTATCTCCTGGCTTATCTTTTGGAAGATGTAATTAAAGTTCTTGGAACAAACAGATCTTTGTCACTCTACATTAGGGCTTACCGTAGATTTTCTGTACTGCTTTGCAGCACATAAAAAAAGCTGCTATTTGCTTCTACTCGGGTTTCTGGATGTGTAATAGAACATGATGAAAGGTTTCGTTCAGTTTAGGAAAAGTTTGAAAAAGGAATATTCGAGAGGAGGATAACTTGACATAGCAGTAGCAACAGCAAGAGGAACATGATGTTGTTGATGATGATGATAAAGAGAAAAACAGATAAATAAGGGAGATGGCCAGTAGGAAAAATAAATACTGATAGTTGCAAAACAGAATTAAATAATGTTAAATCATAAAAGCTTTTGAGTGACAGAGGAGGTTGCCTCCAGGATATATGTTCAATCTCACACAGGGTGATCAGATGTCCTAACTGCAAAGGAGATCAAGACACCGCAAAATGTATGACGTTCAAGAAAAATGGAGGACATTACAAAATACAAATCAAAAACACTCAGGAGACCAATCATGAAATTCATTGCAAATCAGAATAATATTGGAGAAGATTTGTTTCTTGTTTCTCTATATAGAAAATGTAGCTTTGGAGAAAAAGCATGTGTTTTGTGCAAACGAAGCTGACTTCCTATGCAAAAAATATTGCAGATTTTTGGCACAGAAAACACATACACGGAAACTATACATGGTCTTCCCACACAGGAATCTCTGTATATGCACATGTTAACCAATATCTTCCATATTTACATAGTCCTGCCTGTGCAGTTCTGTGTCCCATCACCCACCAGCTGTGAAGTCCTGGGAGGGGTCTTTCTGCTATTGTTTACTGGTGGGGAAAGAAGAGTGCAGAGAAGTGACTGGAACCATGCACACACAGCTGCTAGGTTGGGTGGAACAGAAAAGAGTGCATTTACCTGCTTTTCCTCCTGGGAGCCCAGAGCAGCTGTATCCTCATGCTCTGAATCACCTCCTCCTCCCCTCCTGGGACTTGACAGCTGCCAGATGGCAGGAAGTTTTTGGACACAGAGCAAGGGCAAGAGAATAGCTCTCTGTGGCCTGCCCAGAAAGGGATTTACATGCACATAAGGCTGAATCTGCACTGCAGAAATAATGTCATTTGACACTGCTTTAACTGCCATGGCTCATTGCTATGGAACTGTGGGATTTGTAGTTTGTTGTGGCACCAGATAAATCTAACCAGAATTCCATAGCACTGAGCCATGAAAGTTAAAGAGGTGTCAATCTACATTATTTCTACAGCAGGGGTAGGCAACCTTTCCCCTTTTAG